CTGCGATCGAAAATAGCGTGCGGACCTCCTGTCAGACCCTGCGCGGACATTACCTCTGCAGAGTGGCGTGCGGGTTCGCACGCCAATTTTGATTGGCGTGCGACGCTGCACGCCAACCGGTAAGCGAGGCTGCATCGCTTGCAGGCAGGCGTGCAGCCTACATTCCATATTCTCGACCTAAACCCATATTCATATGGGTTTAGGTCGAGGCATATCCCATAGGACCCAGGGATGGGTCCTATGGAGAGACCGTCCGTCCGGTTCGAACCTTGAACCGACATGGGTTCAAGGTTTGAACCCTGACGGCCATCGGCCAAGGTTCAAACCTTGGCCGATGGCCTTGAAGATCCCTAAATTGCACGCCAAACTCAGTTGGGGCAAGGGGGGCACCTGACAGTCCCACTCTCCCCTGATAGGCCCCCCTTCTGTGCTGCAGTCCCACCCAGCCATGTTTGGGAAGTTGGGCCCCTCCCCAAAGCTTGATAGGCAGAAGAGGGCCCCTCTTTGCGGCTCAGCGTAGCAGTGGCTCCACCTTGGGCCCCTCCACAAGGCTGGATATCCAAAAAAGGAGCCCCTTTGGGGGCTGCAGACCTCAAAAATTGAATTACTCACTGAAAACTACCTGGGGTTCCTTTTTTTCGTTTTCGGATCGGACCGGATCGGATCGGATTGACGCCTGAACGGGCGTGCGTGGTCTTCCTTGCGCTTTACGGCTTTCGTGGGTTCAGGGGGGCGGGGTGGTCACGGGTGCCTCGACGGGTCTCGGTCGGTTCGTCGGGGTGGTGGTGTTGAGTAGTTCGGTCAATCGAAGACCAATGTGAGAACTCCTTTGGGAATGGTGGCAGTCCTGCGAGGGGGAAATAGCAGATAAGATATATCACGTATGTAATTATCTACCACAACTGTTACAGCTGGTTTGAAAGACCTGCCCCTCTATTGTACTACACAAGAGTTAACACAACAATTTATTTATTGTTGTGGCAAAAACTGATGATAGAGAAAACTATGTGTAGCAGTCTCTTATCAAACCTAGATCAACATGGATTCAGCAGACTATTTGAGTGGAAATGTTGAGTAAGAGGTGTTTTTCTGTTTTATATGTTTATGTATTTTGAAAAATGATTGACGTATGTACTGATGATAAATGTTTATGTATGAGATGATATTGTGGAAAAATGTGACTACTGAAAGTGTCTTTCCCTTCCTCCTTGAATCTTAGTCAAGAGCCCAATGGTTTAAGATCACTGTCTCCTGTTTAAGATCACAAGTTGTACTGGTTGCTACTTTCTTTTTTTTTCCTATGCTTCTCAATGGCTGAATGATCTCAATGGGGCACTTGATTAAGATCACAATGGTTAATGTATATATTGATTGCTCTGTTCTGTCTGGTTGATGATCAGATGAAATGATCTGTTGTGATGAGATGATCTGATGAGATGAGATGATCTGATGAGATGAGATGATCAGATGATCAAAAGTTGGAATGAAGGGGGGAGCAGCCCTCCTTAAATAGTCTATTTTACAACCCGGCTGACTTGTGGTTCTAGACCTAACCTATAATGAATATGCATCTAAAACTCTGGCCAAATTGTGGTTTTGCTACTATACAAAATTCTCAGTCTACCTACAAACAATGTGGCCAACTTGTGGTTACACTATGCAATGAATATTGAATACGTAACCAAACTAAGGCCAACTTGTGGTTTAAATTATGCAATAATCATTTTTTTATGCAAATAAAATTTAAATCCCAAAGAACTTTTGACCGAGTGGAGCTAGCCTAGTGGTTCCAGTGAGTGACTATGGCTTAAATGACCCGTAGAATGTGATTATGCCATAATACACCTAATAATATACACCCTTCTACATATTGGACTGTGACTTTATGCAATTTGATACTTGAAACACAATTGGCATACTACACCGAGGTCGTGGTTGGGGATAGGAATCGTTGGGAGGGAGGGAGGGGCAGGTAGGTGGAAGGATGTAGCCTCCCGAGGGGGCGGGGCCCGTTTACCCCGACCCCGAGAATCGATTGTCATA